CAGTACTATCTGATCGTGGAGCAGAATTTGAAAATGCCATCGTGACAGCACTGTGTGACATAATGGGCATCAAACAGCAGTTCACCAAAGGATACTGCCCCAGGGAAAATGGCGTGACTGAAAGAGTAAATGGTACCATTGTCCGCATGCTAAGAAAGAAAACGATAGTGCCAGCGGAATGGGATATCATATTACCTACCGTTGTCTATGCTTACAACGCATGTCCGCACGAATCAACAGGGGAAAGTCCCCATTTCCTTCTGTACGGCCAAGACCCAAAATACCCATCGCAGGTTATTCCCACAGAACACCTATCACCCTGCGCAGTGGATTATGATCAGTATAAAACCGAGTTTTTAGCAGGCCTAAAACTTGCGCGTGAGTGTATATCTCTTAATTTGGAAGAATATCGAAAGAAAATGAAAGAACAATATGACAAACGTTTCAAAACTGACAAGGCTTCAATAATAAAGGAAGGAGACCGCGTTTATGTAAAAGTTCCACATGAAAAAGGCAAGGCATCCTATCCAAAATTGGCCACGGATTGGTCGGGCCCCTACAGAGTTATAGAAAGCAGCGCAAATTCAGCTCTGGTAACTTTGATAGGTGAAAATAAAGAGCCAATAAGAGTGCAGTGGGACCACCTTCTGAAACTACCTCAAACAATCGGCAATACCCCTCTAAAAACTAAAGGTGTTCGCGGACGACGGTGGTCGTAGATGCAGCCTACTAGTAACAAGCTGTTGCAGAACAATTCGTAATCAGCCGTGTTTCAGAGAATCGTCGATGACAGCTACGAATCCTGTCCACATTGACTTCATCTGTCCTGGCGGATTGTCCATTGACGGTCAGCGGCTGCCCTGCGCATCAAACATGACATGGCGAGAAATCTCAGGATCTCGGAACTCTCCAGTGGACAGCCTATTGTTCGATAGCGTCTATAAGTTGGCTCGTGTTGCCACGATTATGTCCCAGACCCATACCTCGCTGGAAATGCGGATGGCCCGCATACTAGATCCTTGCTACGACGCGCTCTCACCTACAGGACTTGGATTTGCAATTTCCTTCTTTTCGGCCAAATGCTTACATGTGATGCAAGGGATGCAGGCAAGATTTTCCACAGGACACCAAAATTGTGAGCCTCATCCTCGTCGTACAAATGAAGATCCGTACGACCTGCCAAGTCTGTTCGATTACGCATGTAGTTGGGCGCAGGCCCATCCATGGAGCGATGAGTTGTGGAAAAGTTTACCACCGAAAAAGTCCTTGGTTCTGTTACCATCGAGTTCAAAGAAGCACGTTTACTCGATACAGTCGCACTGTCAACTGGTACATGTATATTCGAAACCGGATGACGTGCAGGAAAGCTGGTGTCAAGATGAATATTCCGCCGTCGTACTTTTCAGCCCTTCGAAGGCCTTTGATAGCGGAGCGTGGGCCAAAGCATGGCAACTTATACTTGCAATGATTTCGGACGGAATCGAACTTTTCGTCTTGGGATGCCCCCGAGACAACAGACAGTGGCCGAAAGCAATTGATGGATTACGAGATATGTGCGAGGAAACCGTTGCACAACGGCCGAAGTTGCAGAGTAGAATTAAATGTTTGTTGATGACAAAGAAGTGAAGAGAGTCTCGCACTACATCCTTGTAATATCATTACAGAGAACACAGGAATGCGCTCTTACCCGCCAAGTGCGGTCAAGAAGTTCTACGAAGCCACACGCGCGTTCTGTATAGCGCATATAAGGCTCACGCCATACTATGAAATACGGACAAAAGAAGAAACTCAGAGAGATAAATCGGACAACGGGCGTGAGGAGAGGCACTCTCAGCACGGAAGACCACCCAAGCGGTTCTACCCAAAGAAATACGGATTCAAGCAGAAGCCCTACCGCTGGAACCGCAATCCTCCCATAAAGTACAGAGGACCACGATTTGAAAGTCATCGCGAGCCTAACCCTATGAATGTAGGCGAACCGTGGCCCCACCCGAGAAAGAATTTCTACAGAGGCTGAGTGGAACAGCCTTTTCTATGGGGGGAGGCATGTGATGATGGGTGGTCATCAGCCCGAATAACGCGGTGGCCGCCGACCACCCTGATCGTGCGGGAAAGTACCATATAAATAACGCGTCTCGACACCGGAGGCCTGCTGTTCTTTTGGATCTCTTTGGCCGAAGTGGCCTCCTGCCTCCCTATTCGCCTTCAGCAACGATAATATTGATTTCTTTTTTTTATTATCTGCTATTTCTTTGTTTTATTCACTCGAGTTCGTTTGTGAGTTCTCCTAATAAATTCGTTTCGTCAACGCTCTAGACCTTGGAGGAACCAGGATTGATTAATCGACAACATTCAGACAAGAGCTCGCACTAGCCTAGCCAAGTT